TTTTTGTTTTTCTCCGGTACCGGGAACCGAACTCACGACCTTGCGCTTGCCAGGCAGGCGCTTTTGCCGCTGAGCTAAATCCCCAGCCCCCTGTTACAAGATATGTTAAAGTCTTGCCAGCATTAAAAAACTGGAAAGAAGAGATGGTATAAAACTGAATATACCAGCAAGCTTTTCATGATCTAGACAGTGCCAATTGATAAGTAAATGTAACCCTGAAATATAAAAATCAGGACATAGACTGTTAAGTATTGTTAAGATCTTATTTACAGTTTTAGGCGTACTGCCTGTATAGCATTAGTTGCTGTGTAAGTTAACTCTCTTGTGTCTCATTTTGTGTCAGAATTTTTTTCCTGTATCTACTGGCAGAATCAAAACTTTTCTGACAAGCTATTTTCCTCAAGGTTGTTGAGAGTTCATCTAGTCATTCACCAAACAAATGATTCAATACAACAGTCAAGGACAGTGAATCAGAGTCTACAGATTCCCCACATACAAGTGCAAGTACATGAATAATTTAATAATTTGTATTATTGAGAGTTGTAGATGTACTTATGTTTAAAAACTGGATCATAAGTGCAGAAGTATGTAAAATACATGTATATTGTTAAAAGAATAATTGTAAAATGAACTCTCATATGCCCCCCAGCCCCTCTGATAGAATGTTAAGGAACCACTGGGACATTCCTTCCTGAGCCACATGAGTAAACGCCATCTTGAATTTTATGTTAATCACTCCCTAGCTTTAAAAAAAAAAAACAAACAACTTACCAATATACTGTTTAAATTTGCCAGGTTTTTGGACCCTTTATGAGTAGATTTATTCTTTTGTGACTTGTTTCTCACATTCAGCATGTTGTTGAGATTAACCCATGTAGATTTTTGTAACTATAATTTTTCCCTCTTTAAAAAAGACTAAATTTCCCACTGGATGAATACACTACAGTTTATTATTCATCCCACTGTGGGTGGGCATTAGGTTACTTCCACTTGCTTTCCCGCTGAACAATTCTTAACTGAAAACTTAGTCTTTAATTTTTCTTTTTTTTAACATTTGCTTTGTGGTTATCTCATCTAATTTTTATCATGGCGGGTAGTGTTAACTGCCTTTTATGAACAAGCAGAAAAGTTACATAGCTTACTATGGTTGCATAACAAATTCCGTCTCGTTCCTAAATTCTTTCATCTTCATCAAGCCAGAGCCTGCCACAAATACTTTCAAAATATTTTTATTTATATTTTTCTTTCTAGTTGGTAGGATACTGAGGTTTAGTGTTTTCACATCCCAACTGCAAGATTATATTTAGTGTGTGTATATAAAAGTTTGCTTGTTAAGCTTTGCATCTTAAATTTGTGAACGTTTTTCTGGAATACAGCGAGTTTGTGTGGGTAGCACTGTGTTAATGAGAGAACACAGCAGATGACAATTAACAAGTCAACTCCTCCACCCACTTTCTCAGAAGAGTTCAGAAAACAATGCTGAGATGTCCAGCATCTACTCATAATCAGAAAAAGGGTCCACAGCCCAGGTGAGAAAAAGGTCCTAAATTAAGCCACCATCTGTGAGGATGATGACCTAAATTCCAGTTTATTTTTAGGAACATAATGGACAGGGATTAGTGACCCACTGTGAGTGTGGAGTTGGGCAGGGTAGAGAAAGGTATTTATTTAACCGGGAACCCTGAGGACAAAATAACTCTTGAATATAAATGATGCACACACCTGTATATCCCAGCTTCCTGGGGGACTTAGAGAGATCTGAGAGACCCTATCTAAAAACACAAACAAAAGGAAAGAAAGGAAAAATACAAGTAAAAACGAAGGATTAATACGTCTTGCTTCCTTCTCTTGGTAGATGGGGGTACGGTGACTGGGAGTTAAAAGGTGGCAGATTTCATGTTAGTACTCTGAGGAAGTCATTTATGATTAGAGCTGATTTAAAATGCATTATCTTATGATTTGGTGACTTCTCAAAAGCTGAAGAGTGTCCAAGACAAAAACTTAAATCACTACTAGGATTTATTATTAGAGAGAAAATTGAGTCTAGATGATCCATATAATCCTTTCAAATTCTGTTCCTAAGATTCTGTAACTTTGAATTAAAGTACTATAAGAGTTTTTTTTTAGGTACAAGAAATCCTGAAATAGCTGCATTAAGCAGTTTTGGCATTTTCATTACTAATGTCAGCAAGGAAGCATTCAAAATTTGCTACCCAGAAAACATTTTAAAAAGTTGGATGAAAAAAAATTAACCCAAAATTCTATACAGAATAAAAACAATTCAGAATAAAAGTGAAACAGACATTTCAGACAAAAAAAGAATTAGTCACCTGCAAGCCTACATTAATAATTCTGAAGGGAGGCCTTTAAGGCAGAAGGAAAATAATCCCAGATAGAAATACAGAAAAGCAAGGGAAAAAATGAAGCCCTATATAGAATAGGTAAATAGAGGTAAATATTGTGTTAATACTATAAAGTGTAAAATTGATGAAGAATTAGAATTCATGACAACCATAATGAAAAAGGCAAAGAAAATGGAGTTAAAATTATTAGAAAGTTGTATCACAGGAAGTGATTAAATTTAATCAAAGGCATGTGTTGTGATATCAAAGAAGTTAAAAGAGGAAAATGAGATACTTGAGTATTTCAAAAAAAGACAAGATTGAAGAAAAAGTAAATGAAACACCAGATCAAGTAGAATAGAAGCAGGATGGTAGATATAAACCCTCCTGAACAAATAATTACATTAAGTGGAAATTGATGTAATAAACTAATGTTGGTCTAAAGAAAAAGATCAAGACACACCTTAAGTAAAGGTGCACAGGGATGGAAAATAGGTAAACCTTGCAACTAGTAAGGAAAAAAAATTGATATGACTACACTAGTGTCAGGTAAAATATCTTAAGCGCTACTGGAGATGGAGTATTTCATAGTGATAAGTCAAATCATCAGGAAGATTTCATAATTCTAGAGCATTGTTTCAAAATATGTAAGCCTTGACAACTAAAAGGAAAAATGGACAAATCCACAATCATAAGGGTTGCTGTAACAACCCTTTGGAATGGATAAAATACTAGTAATAAGAGCACACTTTAAAAAGTTGACATTATTGAGATACAGAGAATAGTGAACAATGACAGAATTCTTATTTAAGCCCATATTGAAAATGTACCAAAACTGACAATACACAGCCCATATGGAAAGCCTGCAAACATTTCAGGGGATTTAAATAATTCAAACTATGTTCTGGAACCTCCAGGAGAATATGCTAGAAATTAGTAACAAAAGATAACTAGAAAATCCTCAAATTTACCTTAAATGCCTAGATATTAAACAAAATACACTTCTAAATAATCTGTGGATCAAAGAAGTAGACATTAGAAAATATTTTAAACTGAATGATAATAAAAAGACGGCCCATATAAAAAATTATGGCTGAAGCTAAACTGATGCTTAGTAATTTATAGCTTTAATTAACTGCATCTCAAGAATTAAAATAGTACCAAATCAAACCTAAAGAATATACAAAGAAGGAAATGAGCTAAAATCAGTGCAATAGAAGACAAACAACAAAACCAAAAGCTGGCTCTTTGAAATGATTAAGAAAATTAATAAACTGCTAGTAAAATTCTATGATTTAAAAAGATTAAGAAAGCAACATCAGGGATAAATATATTACTGCGGAATCTACAAACATTGAAAATACATGATGATATAACAAGTTGACATCAATTTGAGTTAGAACAAAAAAAAAAAATTAGGAAACTTGGAGTCTCCATCTATTTAATAGAAATTGAACCATTTATTTAAAATCTTTCCATGAAGAAAATGTAAAGCTTGAACAGTGAATTCTTTCAAACATATAAGGAAGAAGTTACCTCAGTTTTAAAAAGTTATTAACACCTGTGTGTAGTACCCTAATTTTATACAACTTCCAGTAAACAGGCAAAAGGAACTACTTCCATCCTCATACTTTGTC